AGTTCGTCTCTGTGGTTGTCCAATAATAGGTCATTTTTCTCCTCTCCGTATTTTTCCTATTTTTCGAGATTTTCTGCAATTGCTACATTTAGAAACAACAAAATCTGTCCAGGCATGGTGGCTCATGCCTATAATCCTAGCACTTTGGGAAGCCGAGGTGGGAGGATCACTTGAGATCAGGAGTTCGAGACCAGCCTGGCCAACATGACGAAACCCTGTCTCTACTAAAAGTAGAAAAATTAGCCGGGTGTGGTGGTACATGCTTGTAATCCCAGCTTCTTGGGAGGCTGAGCTGGGAGTTGGAGGTTGCAGAGAGCTGAGATGGCGCCACTGCACTCTAGCCTGGGCAGCAGAGTGAGACTCCATTTCAAAAAAAAACCAACATAACCTAAATCTTTCTTAGAACAAAACCAAAGAGTTAATAAAATAACAGACCAAGCTGTCAGCCTTAGGAGTTTACTTTTCCCTGTTCTGAATATAAACCTCTTTCTGGTTATGAACTTGAAACTCTCCTTGTGAGAAAGGGAAGAGGCCGCAGCAGTTCAGTCCCAACTGCACAAATGCTGCTGTTTGTCTTTTGACTTCTACGAAGAGGTCATTATCCTATTCACGGTAGCAAGTAATCAAGACTATTTACAAATCTTTCATGTGGACTCTGACTTGCTGAGAACATTCGCAGCCACCAGGGCCTCTGTCAAGCATGCAGTAGGATTTCTGAGTTTATGCACATTGGCCTCTGCTTTCAAAAAATGTGATCCAGAACTTTCCAGCCCATCTAAGAACGATGTGGTGAGAAGAAAATGTGACTGTCTTCTAACAAGTAATTTTTCAAACACTGACTTCAGAGAGTCTAAAATAATGGCCACCTCAGGTCAGGCATGGTAGTTCATACCTGTAATCCCAGCACCCTGAAAGGCCAAGATGGGTGGATCACGAGGTCAGGAGTTTGAGACCAGCCTGACCAACATGGTGAAACCCCATCTCTATTTTTTAAAAAAATACAAAAATTAGCCGGGCATGGTGGCATGTGCCTGTAATCCCAGCTACTCAGGAGGCTGAGGCAGGAGAATCGCTTGAGCCTTGGAGACAGAGGTTGCAGGTAGCTGAGATCACACCACTGCCCCCCAGCCTGGGCAACAGAGTGAGACCTTGTCTCAAAAATTAAAAAATAAAAACAATGACAACCTCGCCAAGACCACCTTACAATTTAGAAAGAAAAATGTTGTTATTTTGGTAATGTCAATTGACTTCAACATTTTATGTTTGTCAAATATCCAATGATTTGTGTGAAAATCATCAGACTGGAGGTTCTCACTCTTGGCTGAAGCAAGAGACAGCATCACCATGCAATGTTTTTCAAATACAGAGATGCCAAGGCCTTCCCCTGGACTCAGACTCAGGGAGTAGAAAGTAGGCAGAGACCAGGGTGCTTTCATTTTCATGTCCTGGAGGCCAGCACAGTGCCCGATACAGAAGATGCTTAATAAATATTTGCTTGACAAAGATGGCAAAGGGCTCCTTCTAGGATAGTTAAAAAAAAAACCTGAGGTCTGGGGTTTCAGGAAAGCTTGCTCTACTCTTTTGCACTGCTAGAATTTTAACCCTTTAAAAAAAAAAAAAAAAAAACATTCATTTAAGAAATAAGTCAATTTATGACTGGGCGCAGTGGCTCATGCCTGTAATCCTAGCAGTTTGGGAGGCCAAGTTGGATCACTTGAGGTCAGGAGTTTGAGACCAGCCTAGCCAACATGTTGAAACCACGTCTCTACTGAAAATACAAAAAATTAGCTGGGCATTGTGGTAGGTGCCTATAATTCCAGCTACTCAGGAGGCTGAGGCAAGAGAATCGCTTAAACCCAGGAGGCAGAGGTTGCAGTAAGACTGTGCCACTACACTCCAGTCTGGGCAACAGAGCGAATCTCCATCTCAGGAAAAGCAAACAGACAAAAAACCCA